TAATGAACGATAATACTTAGGACAAGAACAACACATATAAGATTCGCCAGCGGCGTGTAGAAGAAGTAGTCAACTGCTAGAAGTGAGTCAAGTGAACTCCACAATGAATCTACAACCGAAGGTCATCTACCAACCGCCCCACGCGGTCAGATGTGCCACAAGGCCGAATTTAATGTGGGGTATCCGAGTCTGTAGGATCGGCCAAAATTTACCAGTAGACACCGTATAAAACGCGGTCGGGTAGCTGTCTCCGGGGACGAGACTGTCCTTCGACATAGCCTCGTCTGGAGAGCCTCTCTGCCCAGAGGCAGAGAGTTTGACCAGCACAGCTGGAAATGAATCTCCAACTGCAGGATATCTACCAACCACCTCACGCGGTCAAATGTGGCACAAGGTCGAATTTAACGTAGGCTTCGCCAAAAATTCCCCGTAGACACCGTATAAAACGGAGTCGGGTTAGCTGTTTTCCGAGATGGAGTCGCTCTATATATTTGGGGCTTCCTTTAAATATTTAGTGCGGCCAAAAAGTGGGGGATCAGTAATATTTCTCTTGTTTTTACAATTTTTGCTTTCTATGGAAAATTTTTGAAATTGATATTAAATGATAGGAAATTTCTTAATTAATCCATGGATCAACATAGCCTTGTCTGGGGATCATCTCTGCCCGGAGTCAGAGAGTTTGACCAGCACAGCTGGAGACGAATCTCCAACTGCAGACCAACATACAGTGTTTACTACTGTATTTATGTGAATGGGGGCATACCCATTATCAATCGTCAGGCGGCCAAACTATCGCGTCTAGCATGAAAACAGCCTGTCGCCTGTGAATGTTAACATCAATGTTCACTCATATATATATATATATATATATATTTACGCACACACACACACACACACACACACACACACATATATATATATATGTGTGTGTGTGTGCGTAAATATATATATATATATATATATATATATATATATATATATATATATATATAAAAAAAAAGATTCATGTGAAAAAGATAAAAAATAAAAAACAAATGAAAACTACAGACAAAAGTTCATTTTCTCCAACAAAAGACATTCATTTCTGTAGTTCACTGCCAACAGCAAGCAGAAATATTTCTCCTCCCGATGATGGCCATTTCGGTCGAAACTAGTCGAGGAATCTAAATGGAATAATAATAAAAAAAAAACGAAAGAATATTAATCTACAACCCAGTGTGTCTAATGATTTTAATTTTTTATTTTCTTATTGTTCAAAATATATATATATATATATATATATATATATATATATATATATATATATATGTGCGTATTTTTTTGGCAGTATTTTTTCATTACCCATTAACTGTCAAATTTTTTAATGCGCATTTTTGGCCCAAACAGGTTTCTTAAGAGTTTATCTATTCATTATGTTTAATTTCAGTAGTTACCATTGTCATTTTTATAGAAACTAGAACATCAAATGTATATGTGTATAAAACATCAAAAAATAATATCGATTAGAAATAATAAAAAAATACTTTTCAAAACACTCATTATTTTTCTACTCGTGAAATGTAAAATTACGACAGAAAGTGGTCTTCTTACGGCTAATAATAAAAACTTTATAGGCTTAGTGTTGTAAAATATACCTCTGCAAATGCAATGTATGTAAGCAATTCAATGTAATTACAAGGAATAACATGTAGTGAGTTTAATTTTAACAGATCCCCAAATGAGACTCATAGCAGTTAATGGGTTTAGAAGTTCTGATTAAATAATGCAGACAGATTTTGTCTACTTATCCGTAATAGGATCCTCTCATATTTACAGAAAGTTTCTTCGCATCCTTATTTAAAGAAAGAAAGTTACCATGTTGATGCATATTCATTTTCGACATTTTACTTTCGACGTTAGCACAATGTTTTCATCAGGGTCTTGTTTTTCTAAGATAAATTTGTTGTGTTCAGCTTTTTTCGAAGAAAAATTGTTGTGTTCATCTGAAAAGTATTATTTTTTTATTTGTGAAGTGAAAACGCTGAAGTTATGTGCTGTACGATTTTTCAATTTTATGATACATACACGTGTAGTAACGTCAAGGGAGGTAACTATTAATTTGGGAGTTCTATTTTTTTTTAAATATTAATTAAAGCTATTAGTTAAAACCTAGATATATTTAAACTGTCTACTGTTAACATCTGTGAAGTATTCATAATTAATTTTATTAAGGGTATATTATAGACACCTTCCAGATATATATATATATATATATATATATATATATATATATATATATATATATATATATAAGTATAGGATTGGTGTATACGGAATAAATTCCACTAACCAACAAATACTATTCTTAAAAGAGTGCTCAATAAAGAGTTCAACTATTGTAACATAAATGTTATAAAATCACTACAGAAATAGCCATTTTGTTTCAACACTTCTGGTGTCTTATCAAGTGATGGTGTTGAAGGTAGAATAAAGAGTTTTAAAAGGTTCAAATAAATCAAACACCACTCGCTAGGGAAACGCTGTTACATAAGCTGAAATGACCAATCAAAATACAAGTATATGAGAATTCAAAAACCCTTTATTCTACATTCAACGCCATAATTTGATAAGACACCAGAAGTGTTGAAACAAAAATGGCTATTTTAATGTGATTTTATAAATATATTTACGTTATAATTTTTAATAAATAATTATATATATATATATATATATATATATATAGTAAATATATGTATATATGAATATATATATATACATATGCCTATATATATATATATATATATATATATATAAATGCATTTAGTTGGTATATAAGCATTAGTACTCGTATAACATTTATATGCTCACGTGTACACACACATGCATATATATTTACATGATATATATATATATATATATATATATGTGTGTGTGTGTGTGTGTGTGTACACGAGAGCATGTAAATGTTATGTATATACATACGAGAACTAATACTTATATACGACCAACTAAATGCATTTATGAAAATAGATAGATAGATTTAATATTTTATTTAATTATTATTTTTGCTGTTATTTACACACACACACACACACACACACACACACACACATATATATATATATATATATATATATATATATATAACCGTGTGCGTGTTTAAATGCCTACATGTGTGTCTGTCTATGTGAACCGTTTTGCATATGTCTGCCTCCTTTCTTTTATTTTGTTTAGTCTTTGATTTTTCTTTCTGTTTTGGCTCGGTAACCCTATACCAGTGTCTCGAACCGTAGATGATAACTGAGGGGAAATAACGGGGCCCTACACATACAAAACCTACCCATACAGAACCTGATGGTGGAATATTAAAAGAGGCTTTGGGTGAATGCGGCTCCCCTTATCGGGTACCCATCCCGATTTTACATGAACAATTTAGCACGGAATTTATTTTATCCTTATATCGTAACAAAGGGTCACATTACAAACCATGATAACTTTTCTTAACCCCGGCGCCAAAACCGAATCAATTGCACCAACACATTTTCTTTTCGATACACCTAAATGCGTATAAGTACACCCATATTTTAATCACGAATATTGTCAGAAGACTGAAAAGTTGTAGAACGGCCAATGATCAACTGTCGTTGGAGTGTTTTGTAGGCAAACACCATAAGTTTGCTTAAACCGTCTCAAGATTTTAACTGATGTTTTCTCTTTCTTTCTACTCTAATATTTAACTTGTGGTTTTCACTAGAGTTCAAGGCTTCTCATTATTCCAGGACATTCCTCAGTATCCTAGCGGATATCAGTGGTACTGCCGTCTAGAGAGTCTTCCACACCATTTTTCTCCGACTTACGTCCCATCAACAACTGATACCGCTCTAAACTCTATGTTAAACAATTTCCTCGACATTCCATAAGTTTTTATTAGTATTTCTTTCGTCCTATTCCTATTTGTTAATACTTAGTACTAAGTAGATATAATAGCCTTAAGTTGTCTGAATTTCTTAGATGAAGCATTGTCATTATTATTAATTTTTAACTCGTATTTCTTTCATCTTATTTTGTTGCTTCTTTACACCTAGTAGCAGTAGTAGATGTAATAGTCTTAAGTTGCCTGACTTTCTTAGATAAAGCATTGTCATTATTATTAATTTTTTCCTTAATCTAATTTTCTTGCTTTTTATCACAACACTCAAGTCGCTTTTACATGAAATCATGTCTGTTACATTTACCTCAATAAGTTCCAGATGTTATTTCTCAAATCCATTCTCTCCCCACCTGTGGTATCATGAATGTAGTGACTAGAGTTTTGATCTAAAATGAAAAAAAATATGTTGAAAGAAGGTCAAAACAAAAGTTAATGATGAAAATATTAACAATTTTAGAAATCCGAGCAACATTTAATAATACATGTAAACAATAATAATGTTCGAATCTCATATGGATGAATATAACTATCTGGTTAATTTGAATGGAGCTTATTAGCTGAGCTGTCGTAGCCTAATCCCTAAAATTTGAGTTTATTTATCTCCAGTCAACGCTAAATACTTACGAGTTGTAGAAATATATTACAACGATTACATATATTACAATGATTTGAGCACGGCGATATATCGCAACGAAATAGGATGAAATCTAATTTTAAAAAATGAATACCAATGCAGATTCTCTTCGCGTTAATCTTAAGTTCTTCGTTTTATTCAGATGTTGAATGAGAGAGGAAAAAAGTCGAACAATACGCAAGTTTATCTCATTTCAAATCATGAAGACAACAGCGGACGTTTGCTAATCGCTTTATGTATACACTTCCTATCCAACTCCGCATCAGTGCCTGACGACGTGTACTTACTTGGTCTCGAGATTTGCAACCTGTCACTTAGCTACGTGTCTTCATTTAAACAAGTCATGTTAACCAATAAGACATACGAGTGCTTTGATCCTGCTATCCATGATGCTATTTTCTCCAAACACCTTGTTGAATATATTACAATATACTCATTTAAACGGAGAGATTACGGCCGATCGCTGAAGTTAAGCAACGTCAGGCCTGGTCAGTACCTAGATAGGTAACCGCTTGGGAATACCAGGTGCTGTATGCTTGGATCTGCTGATTCGTGTTTTACGGCTTGTCAACCTTTTGTAGGTTATTTAAAGCCAGAAAATATTTTACATTGCAAGAATTTTTCTTGCAATGTAAAATTTTTACTAATGGATAATGGCTTAGAATTGGAGTCGAATTCGTTATATTCATTTACGCTCAAATACCCTTGGTATGAATTTACCTCTTTTTCTGTTATATGCCGTACCTATGAACACTAATGTGTATGTCCCAATTAACATAAATTCGTTGGGCACTATTGTAAGTGGGGGTAATGTGCTGTCTACGTGAGCTGTCAGTGTGGGAAGCTCTTGCCATGTCGATCTCTCTGCCTTCGTGTAGAGAGGAACTCAGACAAGGCTATGCCGAAGGGCAGAGTCTGGTCCGGGTAGGTAGACAGATACCCAATCCCGCTCATGCGGAGTCTACGGGTACTTTTGTCCGAGCCCACGGGCTCGGATTTTCCCACATTTAATTTGACCTTGTGCCACATACAACCTAGTGGGGATGCAGGTATATATCGTAATATGCTGTCTAAGTAGTCCACCAGTAGCAGTGGTTTACCTACTTCACGCCGCTGGCGAGTATTGTATTTTGTCGATGTTATAAAGATTAACATTTCCAACCTCCGTTTTGGTTATTCCTCATTCAGTAACCCTTCCTAGGTTACAACATTTCCCTCCAGTTATGAGTTAATTAATAGGAATTCTCAGTAAATCACTATTATTTCCAGAAAAATTCTTGCAATGTAAAATATTTTCTGGCTTTAAATAACCTGCAAAAGGTTGACAAGCCGTAAAACACGAATCAGTCAACAAGTTACTTCATGCTTTTCTCTGTACCTCTTTTCCTTTTTGTTTTTTAATCGAGTTCACCCAAAGCAAGGTAGTAAAGCCACGGAGTGGTGAGGGATTACTGGGTATGAAAGAGTTAGAAAAAGAAACATTGCTAAGGATCGAGAACAGCGGAAGGGCAACCAGGAGGACAACAGATAGCAATTGACACTGCATTTAAATTTGCCTTTTAAATTAAATTTGTCTTGTGAACGTCAGATTGTTATATAGGAATGAAGTGTCGCTGCCGTCACTTGAGTTTGAACATAGATCGCCAGTGAGCAAACACAGGCTATCCCATTATTGAATTAAGTGGATCACGTGGCGTGACGTCTAAACGATCGCTATCTCTATTCTATCCTCTATTACTATACAGACCGCTATTCTCTATACTATTTCTCTATTCGGACCACTATACGGATTACTATTCGAGCGAGTATTATCGAGCAAGTACTATTAGTGCGAGTGTTTTTCGAAGGCGTCTGACACTAGTATTGTACAACGGCATTATTATAAGTTGTATCTGCGATTACAAAGTCTCTACTACAACGAGCATTACGGAAGTGACAACGAGTATTCGATGGCATTACAAAAGTGGCAACGAGGGTTCGTTGACATCACAAAACAGATGCAACACTTGGTCCGGTTTGCATTAGTTAAAAAGGTAGGCATAGATCTGGTTTACAGTACAGACAAGGGAGACAACACCGATTTATCCTCGGGACAAAAAGTAAAAATAAGTTCGGTTAATACAAGAAAGAGTTAAAAGATTGCGGCGGGGTGCTCTATTCCTGAAGAGATTTAGATTACATATTCTAAGTAGCGACGACTGGGCAATTTCTTGTGTTCGTATATAATGCATTCTTTGTGAGAAAAAAAATGGTAAAAACAGGGAGTAATTGAAATTTTATTCATTTCTGTACAGTAGTGAAGAGCAAATCGTCAATGAAGCACATATCTGCCTCTATCTGTCATGTCCCTGCAGGACATCAGCGATCATGGGTCTCCACAACTTCAATTCTAGTGGGAAGTAAACTGTTGAGTACTTATAGAAGAGTCATAAATCTAATAAAATCTGTCCGTTGATAGCAATAGTGACAACTTATAAAACTGCATAAAATCAGGCTCAAGGCCGTATTTTCATGGCTCGAGTTTATCTTGTGCAACTGTCCGCTAAATGTCAGACGTTCTACCTTCAGAGTGCCCAACGACTTTCACCTTGAGCCAGTTTAGGTTTTATTACTTCCCAGAGATCTTTTTTCTTTTCTTTTTTTTTTTTTTTTTTGCTAAATATTTTTTGTTTACTCTCATAGCCATCATTTTTAATCATGCACTTCAAGTTATATTTGACTAAGATTTAGAGAATATCCCATTAATTTGGTTGGTTGTTTTATTAATTAACCCATAGCTTGGAGGGCGAAGAGGTGGGTTCATACCTTTACAAAGGGTATTTGCCCGTAAGTGACTAAAACGAAGCCGATTATCAATTCCGAACCATTATCACAAGCACTTCCAAAGCTCACAGCATCTAATATTCCCAAGCGGTCTCCCATCTAGGTGCTGGCGAATGCTAGATTTATGGCTATGTAAGATGAATTCTCACAAGAAAAAGAACCAACTTTCCTAGCAGTAGACCTAGCAATTGATTCAGTATAGTCGCTCCACTTTAGGTCAGTTGAAAACATAAGTCCAAGAAGCTGCATAATGTTGCTTATCCTGGAGTTTAACAGTAGTTATGTTGATAGCAGGCAGAAAAGCTTTTCTGCGGTGAATAAATGAAAGTAGTTTTGTTTTGGAGGCGTTAAAAACAAAACTTGTACCCTCTCCTTTTTTGATGCCCTAAGCACGTGCTTATTTTGTTTAACAGTTAATCCGGCCTTGAGTTGCTGTTAACAACAGCAGCAATACAAAGGCGAGATTTGAGCGCCTGAACAATGTCGTATATGCTAATGACTCTTCTAAGAGTTAAAGACAATATGAGGAAACGAATGTCAGTCCGAACAAGGACAATAGCAACAACAGTTCGCCCGACATTTTCAAACAGGAACGCCTTTGTTTTTTTTTTTTACTCTATTTGAAAAGTTATCGAATCATAGAAATATAAATTTGTCATTGTTTAGACTGTACGGTTATTTACGAAAATAAGTTTAGTCATTCTCAAGGCCACAGTAGATCAGTGCTTCAGAGAATGGAATTTAGGGCATTAGAAAATTGATCCTAAAGATGATCGCACTATGTGAGACGCTTTGATAGTTATTTGCTAAGTTTAACCTAAATTGGCTCAAGGCGAAACTAGTTGGGCACCCGGAAGACAGAATATATGACACTTTTGATGACGGTGTCAGGATAAATGCAAAGATTATTGCAAGTTCTTGGGTAAAAGTTCTTTGAATGGTACAGGTTAAGAATAACATGGTTGAAGCTAAAAAGTTTATTCAGCTAAGATAATGGACCGGCGAATTCTGAAAAGTGGTCAAAGAAAGGTTTCAGAGACACCAAATTAATGGTGGGCTTACGGCCACATTACGTTAAAACACCGGTTCCCGTACCATCACCGAAGTTAAGCAATGTCGAGCATGGCCAGTGCCTAGATGGGTGACCGCTTGGGAATACCAGGTGCTGTAAGCATGGAAGTGCTTGTGGTACAATAGATAATGACTCTGAATTGGTAATCGAAGAGCCGAGTTCCAATTCCAGTCGGATTCCTTATATTCGCTTACACCCAATTACCATTGAGAAAGGTATGAATCTATATGTTCTCCCCCATCTATGGGTTAATTAAGATTTATATCACCAAAATCATTATTATTTCCAAAGGAAAAATAGAATTGCGTGAAAAATATTCCGGCATTAAATAACCCATAGAGATGTCGATATGCCGCTAAACAAAAACAACAAACCAACCAATCAAATTAATGGAATATTCACCAGTCTCTCTAAATATTAATCCAATGGGAAGCTTGCGGTCCATGATTAAAAATGATGGCTATAAGAATGAAAAATAATATTTTAGCAAAAACGATCTATGAGCAGTAAATAATATCTGGTGAAGTGCTGCGGCTTTTACATCGCGAGATTCTTGGAAAATCCAAAGAAGGACCTGGCATCTCGACCTTCAGTCACTTTTTCATCGACGTGACGCAGTTCACTTTGTCTTTTCTACAAACATTTTTCATGAAAACACTTCTGATAAGCACACGATTTACATTATTCGGACTATCGTCCTCATCTTTGTTGCCATGTTTATCACAACGTTTCGGCTGTTGTACGCTCCGGTCTTCCTCAGGTGGTTAGAATGTCACTGGGATAGACTGTTCTTGTTCAACGTGCCATGTCTAATGAATGTCAGTTATATTAATTCCCCTCTGAAAGTTCTCTACTGCCTTAACCAGGTATTGAACTCACACACTTTGGGTCCTGTCACTGGATCTAACTAACGACTTTATTCACTGTGACATGTGTTCCTGGGGACATCTGTGTATGAATTTCTGGGTATTATAAACCTAATGCCTTCAGCAACCATTTTTACCAGTGCTCATATTGCAATTTTTGCTGTTATCATTGCGTGTTTTTTTACCAGAGCTCATCTTGCAATTTTTGTTGTTATTATCGCTTTTCTCTGGCACTTCTTATTACTGGTTCCCATATTGTATTCATTTCTATGCTTGGTCGGCTCATGAGATTTTTGTGGCCTAGCATATGTGCTGATTCCTTAAGTTTACGAATTTTCCAATGATGTTCTTTGTCTATCATCTCAACTTGATCCTACAGAGGGCGGTGATCTCCCTTTTCTCTCCATATGTGGTCAGCCATGCTTGATTTTTCCAATTCCCCTAGTGTTACAGTTTTCTGATTCTGATAAGCTTTTTTGCCCTGGTGCCTCGATTACATGAATTTAAGTGCGCTACTACATCGGCAAATAGGTCTCACCATTTTACTGTTGATCTAGCTAAATGCAACCGCCGCTAGTATTACTCTAACTTTTCTTTACCTGTGGAACTTCTTTCGTTTTCTTGATAGCTAAAATCATCAAAAATATAAATGCAGCATCAATCGCTATCTTCTGTCTTCTTGAATCCTGTTCTTTTTTTTTTTTTGTCCTTTCCTCGATCTTTCCCATTCTCAGTCTTATCATTCTCTTTCACTTTCACTACCTGTAACTCTCTGCGATCTAACGTTTGTATTCCCTTGTTTGGGATAAAACGATAAAAAATGCTTTGCATTAGATCATATTTTAGCTAAAAGCTCAAAAAAGGCTCGAGTAGAAACTATAAAATATTTTTTTTAAGCTTTTCCCTCCGAGCAAGGTGGGAGTGCCACTAGCACGCAGGGGGTTACAGAGAGTGGGAGCAAGAGTAAAGAGGCGTGATAAAGGAAATGATGAAGAGAAGGACGGGGGAATAGATCAAGGCATCTATGGGGGGTCTTACTCGGGAGAGATATCTGCGAAGTGTCGTCAAGCTTTTGAAGGCTGTCCTGATGTTATATGACCCGCAGATCCTTTGTATTTTCTCTGATAACCCCTTCACATAAGGCAGACAGACGATTTTCTGAGTGTTGTTTGTCCTCCGCTTGTACCCGCCTATCCCAGTTTTGGTAGTTGTTACGTTGTAGGGTACTACTTATACTGACCAATTCCTTATCTAATGTCTCTGGGTCGCCACTTGCTCGGTGTTGTAAGCAGCGGACGATCCCTTTCTTTACGCTGTATGGATGGTGGGAGTTGAAATTGAGGTACTGTCCGGTGAATGTCGGTTTACGGTATACGGATGTCTTAAACCCATGCTCTGTTCGAGATATTAGAACGTCCAGGAATGAGAGTGTGTTTTACTTACCATATAAATTATCATTGCTTTAGAGATATAGATTCTAATGCCATTTCCTCAAAGTATTCCATGTATATATTCGCCATTGCTGGTGATAATGGCGAGCCCATTGCTAAGCCCTCATCCTGTCGATATATGTGTGATCCCATTCCGAAGTGTGTTGTTTGTGTACAGAAAGTCAACATCTCTATCAGATTATCTATTGGAATACTGGTCCGTTCTTCTAGGGATGAATCAGAGGCCAATCTGTCTCTGACTACTGAGAGTGCCTCTTCCGTGGGTACCTTGGTGAACAGACTCACCACGTCTAAGCTCACCATCTAGTTGGATAGGAGCATCTTTGATTATTTCCACAAAGTGGGCGGAGTTTCGGACATATGAAAGGGACTTTCCGATCAATGGGTCAATTATATCTACAAGGAAGCGACTCAGAGGGTGGCACACAGAGCCTTGGCAACTAACAATCGGCCTGAGCGGAATACCGTCTTTGTGGATCTTAGGGAGACCGTATATGTGAAGTAGCTTGGTGTAACGTTGTGATAACTGCCTATACGTCTTAGGAGCGAAGTGATCCTTGTTCTTGATTAGTATCTCTGACAGTTTGCGTTCCGTTTTCATAGTTTACTACCGTTGCTAATGAGGTCTTCCATCTTTCTTATATAATCTGATTTGTCCATCACTACAGTCGCATTACCTTTTTCAGCCGGCAGTATGATGATGTTTTCGTTCCTCCAATCGCCAGTTTTGTTATGTTAGACCTGGTCGGCTTGCCCTTCCCCAAGGTCTGTCTCACCTTCCATCTCAGTTCATCCACCTGAGCCTGAGGGATGTTCAAGGCCACTTCCTCGACTCTGGTAATGATGTCCAAGTATGACACTCGTCTGATGGTTGTGGCGAAGTTGAGACCCTTATTCAATACTGACTCCTCAGAGGCACTCAGCTGATATTAGCTGATGTTGACTACTGGTTTCAATCTATTTAATTTTTGCACTTGGCGAGCCTTGACTACATCAAATTCATGTCTGAAGGATTTATCCAGGTCATTTTTGATTTATCCAGGTCTTCATTAGTAATTCTGTTGAAGAAATCCTCGAGCCTCTGGGAGATATGAGCTTGTAGTCTCTGTTTTATCCAACGATTGTACTGGATTCTCTCTCGGATAAGGGCATGTCCTACTTACTCTGCGACCAGATGGGCTCTCCTTGAATTGACGGGAAGTCTTGGTGCCAAGCCTGAAGGGATGAGTTGTAGGTCTCTGCATCGGTATAGGAATGTCAGATGGTTCGATATTCGTGCTAGTTTCTGGTAGGATTTTTCAATTTGTCTCCATATTTTTGGTATATCGGGTCAGTACGATCCTTCAATATCTGTCTATATTTCTGAGATGAGGTATTATGTACATTATTTACATTATTCGGACAATTGTCCTCATCTTTGTCGCCATATTTATTACAACGTTTCGACCGTCGTACGCTCCGGCCTTCTTCAGGTGGTTGGAATGTCGAACTGAACCCTTTATTTCGCTCACTGGGGTAGACTGTTCTAGTTCCATGTGCCATGCTTAATGGATTTCAGTTATCAGTTATCTCCTGTTAAATTTCCCTCTGAAAGTATATTGAACTCACAATCTTTTGAGTTCTGTCACTGGATCTAACCAACGCTTTTATCCACTGTGCCATGTATCCTTGAGGACATCTGTGTATTAATTTCTGGGTATTATAAATGTTTCAGCAACCATTTTTACCAGTGTTCATATTGCAATTTTTGCTGTTATTATTGCATGTTTTTACCAGAGCTCAAATTGCAACTGTGTTGTTGTTATCGCTTTTCTCTGGCACTCATATTGTATTTATTTCCATGCTTGGTCGGCCCAGGAGATTTTTGTGGCCTAGCGCTGATTCCTTAAGTTTACGAATTTTCCAATGGTGTTCCTTGTCTGTGGTTGAAGACCAAGGAAACGCTCTTAAATTTTTTTCTAGTTTGAACCATTTATCTGCATAAAATGTCCAATGTCTTCTCAGCGTTTTTATCTTTCATATCAAAGAGTTTAAATTTACACACGCAGATGCACACATATAGATTCTCACACACACACACACACATATATACACACACATATATATATATATGTGTGTGTGTGTGTGTGTGTGTGTGTGTGTGTGTGTGTGTTAAATGAATCATTCATACAAAAGTAGATTAGTAAAGTTAATGATATAAAATGGCGAAACCCTTCGCAAACAAAATTTTAAAGTTTCATTAACCGATAAATCACTCGATGAATGTTATGATCCTTGTTTTTTATAACTACAAGCTGTATAAGGCCTTTTTTAATCTGCTAGTACTTTCAACTGTACATACAGTCATCCTCAGGCATGGAAATTATTTTGTTTTTAGTAAATCCAGGTAGCATTTTTTTTGAAATGTGTTATTGTTAACGGATACAAACTTTTGGAGCGTGCAGTCACAACGCTAAGGTTGAATTTTTTTTGAAAATTTAAGAGAGTGCGTTTTTTTTCTAATATGGTAATTTGAGAATTTTTTTGTTGTAGGAGTTTATCAGTCAATGTGGCATTAACTAAATTGTTCAATAAATAGAGTAATGTCTCAGTTGTTATCCTGGAAATTTTGTTTGCAAAGAGTTTTCGCCATTTTATATCATTAAATTTACTAATCTTTTTGCATGAATGATACATTGTAATATAAGTTGAACTGCACCATATATATATATATTAATCATTCCACCGCAACCAACGCGGGAACGCCACTAGTACGCAGGGGGTTACAGAAAGTGAAAGTGAGA